CAAGACCTGCCACTTGACCAGCCACTCCTCTGTCTGGAATTAGAATATGTGTTTCCATCATAATAATCTTCAATTTCAGGTAATTTGGCTGGCACTGAGAGTATCCAGTCTGAATCATGCCACTCTGCCTGTAACTTTCTGACTCAGTTGTGGAAATATCAAAGCAAACACTCATGTTTCCTTTTAGGAAGCACATTCTGGTGATTTGGGATACCACAGTACTACTCAGCTTTCTGTTAAGCTCTTTCCAAGCACAGCTGACATCCTGTATTTCTTCTGAGTTCTCCAGGGTCATGGTCACAAACCCCTTATCAGAGGTGATCAAGGAACGCAGTTCAAAGCTCGATGCACCAGAAATGTGGGCTAATGCTGCAGCCACAGCATCCAATGCCCCTTTCTCGTCTATCAGTCTCTGAGCTGATGGTCCAAAAAAATCAACAGCAGCGTAAGAAACAGAAGCCAGAGGCCTGATGGCAGCCATGCTTTTACATTTAATTAAATCCATTGTAGAAGGAACATCTACACGTTTAAAAGTAATTCTTGCTTTTTGTTCCACATATCTTAGTTGACCTCTTTCTCTTGTTTGACAAAAACATATGCAAATCCCCATTCGGCCAGCTCTCCCTGTGCATCCAGAGCAATGAATATAGGACTCAACATCCTGTGGAGGACAACTCTGAATCACCAGGTTAACCTCAGGAATCTCCAAACCACGGGCAGCCACATTGGTGGCCATCAAAACTTTAAAACTACCTTCTCTGAAGCCTTTCAGTGTAATTTCTCTTCATGACTGTGCAATGTCCCCATGTAAACACTGGGTGTTCTGTTTTATTTGTGGATTCATGGCCATTTCAGTTACATTCTTCTTGGTCTCACAGAAGATAATGGCCCTCCCTTCAGACTCACTGTAGACGTGCAAGACGTTTCCAAAAACGGCTGGTCTCTAAGACCAGTGGCAATGGATGGCCAAATGTTCCACAGTAGTTGCAGCCTTTTGAGTCATTTTTCCAACAAAGTCAACCTGTTCATATCTGGATTTCATGTTTGCAACTTTGTATACCTACTGTGGGCAAGTTGCAGAAAAAAGTAAAGTTTGAGGATTGTCTTCAGAATCAATTTTGTAGGATTCATGGATAATATCTTCAACTAGTTCAGCAAAACCTAAGTCTAACATCTGGTCCACTTCATAAAGTACAACATGGTGCAGTTTAGAAAGATCCAGGTGGCTGCTCTGCAGATGATCTTTGAAAGCCCAGAGGTCCCAACCAAATGTCTATACCGTTTCGAATATGATTTATTTAGCTTTGATATGATGTTCCACCATAGAAACATGCCACGCTGAGTTTCCTAGATATATCTTTGAAGTCTTTGGCTGCTTGGTTTGCCAATTCCCTTGTTGGAGTCAAAATAGGTACCTTTGGTGAGAGGCTTTTTTTTTTTTAACTGTTTCTTGATTTCTTTGGAGCCTTTCAATCAAGGCAATGGCAAAGAGAATGTCTTTCCTGTTCTTGTCCATGCTTGAGCAATCTATTTTTTTCCTTCATATACAGGACCAAAGGTCTTAACTTGAATAGGAAAGAGATATGTTACCCCTCGACCTTTCAGAAGCTTTATGTCTCTTCAGAAATAGAGAAATTGGAGAAGGCTCCCTCTTTCTGTTCACGGGTTAGTCTCTTCCAGTTCATTAACACTTGATTTATGAGAACTTTCTACAGATGACACTTGTTTAGATTTTTTTTCACATTCATTAATATCACCATTTGATAGATCTTTTCTTCTTATGAGATGTGGAAAATTCATCTGCAAGTCTATTCAACCCTTCATCAGTATCTCCATTTAGCTTCTCTTTGATTTTAGCTTTTCTGGGCTTGGGAGCATCCAGGTCATCTGTAACACCATTTTCTCTTGTTTCCTCTTCTCATCTGAGTCATGACAGTGCCTTGACCTCCTTCTATCACTCTTTTGCTGCTCCTTCCTCTTGCTCTCAGACTCTTCCAAAGGTGCTTCCAGCTCCATAATATCCCCCCAGAGGAGTTTCCCAGGCATTACTGGCCGCTGCCACCTCCCTTTGGGCACGGTGGCCACAACCACCTATGGACAGTGACAGCGTGAAAGGAAGTCGGGGTAAGGCATCTGCCTGGCCAGGGTTATACATCACTTCCAGGACACGCACCACGTGGCGGGGAGGGAAAATAATCCCGGATAACTCTTGGTATTCCACTAAACTATTAATGGTACATTTTTTATTATTTATTTCCTAGATATCCTAGAAATTATAACATACTGCTATCTTAGTATCACTTAACTATTTTTATTATTTCCTAGAAAAGCTAGGACCATAGAACACAGCAATTCCATGTAATTTTCTCTAAAATTCTATGCCACTATTTCATTTATTTTGATTATAGTAATATGTAAGCCATAAGACACACCATAATCATTTACCTATGTATTTTCTTTTTTCATTGTTCCTTTTTAGCAGCCACCTCAACTTTCAACATACTATTCCTCTACCCAGACAATGTTTCCTTTATATCTTTATTTCATTTTATTTCAAAGCTTATTTATGTACATATAAATAAAATCTATCCTGGAAGTGTTTTTCAGCACTATGAAGATATAGGTAAACTGACTTTTCATATCAATCATTTCTGTTGTAAAGTTAGTTTTTTTATTTTATTGCCATTTTGTTGAAGGTAGTATAAATCTTCTGCCTGGCTGTTTACCCTCAGTTTTGTCTTCAGTTTTCAGCAATTATACTACCATATGCCTAAGATGTTCTCTTTCTCTATGGAGGGCAGCAAAATATCATAGAATGAGAAGCTTATAAATAACAGAAATTTAGGGCCAGCAAGACAGCTCAGCAGACTAAGCACCTGCTTAGGCAAGCACAGGGACCGGAGTTTGATTCCTGGCACCACATGCTACACTGGCCCCACCCCCGGGTGCACTGAGCCGGCCACCAAGTCCAGGCATGGTGGCCCACACCTGTAATCCCAGCACTAAGAGGCTTGAAAACAGGAGAATCACCACGAGTCCGAGCTGTGTAGTGAGACCCTGCACAAAATACATAAAAAAAAAAAAAGAACAGAAATTTGCTTCTCATAGGTCTGGAGGCTGGGGAGGCCAAAGTTAAGGCACTATGAATCCAGCATCCGAGGGCCCACTTTCTCATTACCAGTCTGTGTCACACAGTGGGCAAGGCTAGTTAACTGTTGGGATCTTGCTCATGAGGGACTAACCTCATTGACAAGGGCTCTGCCCTTATCACCGAATCACCTCTCAAAACCCCACTCCCCACATGATCATGTTGAGGATAGGATTCTAACATATGAATACAGAAGAGGGGGCCAACTTTCACCCCATAATATGTGTCCCATACATTTATTCTTACTAGAGTTCTCAAGCCTTCTTCAGTCTGTGGCTTAGAGTCATTTATGTGCACTGGATAACTCCCGGCCTGAAATTCAAATGCCACTTCCTTCCAATTCCCATAGAAACTCTTTCCTCTCTTCTTGGGATTCCAGTCATAACTTACGAGATCACTGGATCACTCAGTCTCAAGATCTTCATTCTTTTGTCTTCCCATGTGAGTCTGGATATTTTCATCTAGTCACCAGTCTATATATTGTTTCTTTTTGCTTTGTTCATTTAATGTCGAATCCATCCATTTCTTTTTCTTTTTGTTTATTGTTGGAGATCAAACCCACAGTCTTGTGCATTCCAGGTAAGCACCCTATTACTACACTATACTTTAGTCCTTACTTCTTAATTTCACATATAGTACTTTTTCCATTTTAGGATTTTCTTTTAGCTAATTTTTATTATAGTTTCCATTTCTGTACTGAAATGTGAAAGTGTGCCATTTGGTCTCTCAGCACATTAATGATAGTTATTTTGAAGTTTACAATGGAGATGTCCAGTATCTCAATATTCCGCGGGTCTCCTTCTTCTCAGTGTCTTATCTTTACTCAAATCATACCTACCACTTCTTGGCCTTGTAGCTAACATTCAGTGTGGCATCAGTTTAATATTTCAGTTGTATCTTTTCTTATTTGTCCAGTTTTTTTTTTTTAACTGAGTGCTAGCCATGACATTTAGAAAACTTTAGAAGGTCACTGGAAACTTAGGATGATGTTATTTGCTTTTAGAGAGCATTAGCTTTTGGCATCTTGAAGGAAAAAAGCAGGCTTAGTAAGCCAGGGCACAGGCAGCCCCAGATCACCTCCATCTAATGGGGATTAGGGTGACTAGAATGTGGGCTCCTATTTTCTGGAGAAATGATCACTACTCAGAGTTTACTTCTTGCCTCAAGTGAAATCTTGAGTCTTTATCAGGCCACTGCTACCAGTCAAGCTCTGACTTCAACTTTTCGTTTCCTTTGCTCTAAGATTCTGTCAAAAGGTTTTGCTTATTTTCTAGTCCCCACTAAATCTATAATGAAACATGGTCTTTAGCTTGCACAATCCAGTAGATATTCATCTTTAAAAACAGGAAGCCTAAAACACTTGGTTTCTATTTGTGGATATCATCTTTTTCAATTAAGTTCTTATATGAAAGTATCTGTATTTATGAAATGAAGATACTCATCTGTTTCAACCAAATGTTTGAGCTTCAAATTATGTCATGGTTAAATACTAAAGACAACTCAAAATTACCAACATATTAACTAACCTACAGCTGTTAAACCAACATTAAATAATAACAGCCTGACAGCTGGCTTAGTGGTGTATGCCTGCAATCCTAGCATTCAGGAGGCTGAGGCGGGTGGATCACTGCAAGCTCAAGGCTAACCTGGGCTACATAGTGAGCTCGAGGCCAACCTGAACTACACAGTGAAACCCTGTCTCAAAAAAAAAAAAAAAACACTATATTATAGTGAGAATTTTAAGAATTTAGTTCACATATAAAGACTGTATATCACAAGATACATATTCAAACATTTAAAAATTTCTTAAATCCTATATACTAATAATCACCAAACAACTATTTGTACATACTTTTACATCCCATCTTTTTGAAAAGGTTCTTCAAGTCAGGATCCTTGGCTTGTGACTGTACTCCACACACAAATATTTTGGAGGTATTATTACATGTTAAGATGGACATATGGGCAACTGTGTACCAGGAACCTGTATTGACCATTAAGATATCATCATCCATATTTAATAAAGCCTTTACAGAATGGACTGCAAGACTTCGAGATTTGTCCTACAAAAAAAAAAAAAAGTATGATTAAAATTTCAAAGGGCCTGACTAGAAACATAAGCTGACTCCATTTTGCTTTAGATAAAAGAAAGTACTTGGTAGGGATCTTGAAGAGATAGTTAACCCATTTTAGTTTAAAGCATCACGATATATATCTAACTAAAAATTAACCAAGAAAACTAAGTATATTTAGAACAAAGAGCTTACCCTCACTCAGCCTAAGTCACTAACACATGACCAACAGATTAGTAATGTCTTGTCTTGGCTGCTGGTCCTACCCATTCAAGAAAACCTGGGCAAAGAAACAAAACAAAACAAAAAAAAGCCCCATTCATCTGCTCTTGCATTTTTCTTTCTCATTGCACTGTCACCTACACTGCCATTAACCAGCTCCAGGAGAATAAAATTACAATATTTGAAAAGACATTGATCTCAGTGCTTGATAAGGTAAGAAACTCTACTCAAGAACATGGGTGTAGGGAAGGAATAAACTGTAGTGAATCTCAGGCCAGAATTAGAACCTAAGGGTATACAAATGAAGTTAGCTAGTGATTTGGGCTGGGCCATCTACTTTTCATTCTATTGACATTATTCCTCTTATTCTCTTCCTACTGATGGACAGCATCCACCTCGTATAACCCACGTTGTAGGACTTTATATATTGAAGAGTATGAGAAGTATAAAGCACAGCCCTTTCATACGCCAGGCAGCACAGGTGTCATAACCAGACGTGAAAGAAAGAAAAGGTCTCGCTGTAGCCACCCTTGTATCCTCCCTTAGGAGAAAATAAAACAGCCTTTCGGTGGCCAGCAACCTCTCCTAGGAGTCTGGAGAGGGGAATTTGTTTCTCACAACCTCATGAGAGTACAATGGCCAAGACACAAAAGTAGCACTGATTGAAGAGCTATCAGTTTATTCACAGTGACAATTAGGCCTTATAAACCTCCCTGATAATCCATTAAAAAATATAAGCACCATTTAGAGGAATTCTTTGAATAAATAAGATTGCTGAAAATCACAATGAAAGTAAATAGTAGTTTACCTGAAAGATAAGTTTATTATCCTTGAAAAGATCTATATTTATAAGATCTTTTTTAAGATGAGATGGAAAAATTAAGACATCATAGCAATGTTGGTCCACAGCAAAGACTTTATCATCAATATGCAATACAGATTTGACTTTATTATAGCCTTTGTTCCTCAAACTATTATAAACTTCTTCAGGGCTGTAAATATACAATATTAAGGTGCATTACAAATATACATTAGAAACATATCGAACATTAACACTTCTTCCTGCAACAAAATATTACTATATATGTTACATCTAATAGATCTCATAATTTTAGCTAATAAGAAGTTAAAAGATAATTAGAAACAGAAAAGTTACAATAAGTATGCAATTACTTTGGTAATTTGCTGATAAATCTGGAATTAAATTATAACCCTGCAATTATTCCCCTAGTGTGCCCCCCTACCCTTAAAGTAGTACTTCTAGCCACGTGTGGTCAAGTACACCTGTAATCTCAGCACTTGGGAAGCTGAGGCAGGAGGATCACTGAGAGTTATATAGGTCATCTTGGGCTACATGAGTGAGTTTAAGGCAAGTCTGAGGTACAAAGCAAGTTTCTATCTTAAAAAAAGATTTTTTTTTTTTTTTTTTTTTTGGCGGAACCAGGTATTGAACTCAGGCCCTTGCGCTTGCCAGGGAAGCGCTTATTCCACTGAGCCATCTCCCCAGCCCCATCTATCTTAAAAAAGAAGGACAATCTTTCTCATCACATCGTTTTAAGAGAGGAAGATTTTCAATATAGAATATGAATAAAAAGCCTGATTAGACTCTCACCTTATCTTACATGTATTTATCCAAGCATAAAGCGGCAGGGTGGCGGCTCTCAGCTCCTGCTTCCTCACCGGCTCTGGCAGAATGTGATAAATGGAAAGAGCATCGTGTTTGATTCGACATCTTGCCAGTGCTGCAGCCAACTTGGTCTTAAAGCTAGAGACAGAATATCCTTTTTGATGGATTTTAATAAATTCGCCTATAATCCATTTTACATTTTGAAGTCATACATAAAAAATGGTTATAATTGAAAATAAAAATCCAAATAATTCTGATTCCTTTTTCCTATTTTTTTGCTATCCCTAGCCAGGCTAGTCAAGAAAATATTATGATATTTTATTAGACTCATTCCAATGTTATTATATTGTTTATAATATTTGTTTTTATAAACATATCATAATGTTTATTCTTTTTCTATTATTAAGTACTTGATCAGATCCAGAACTGTAAAGATTAAAAGAGAATTTTGACCATTAAGTAATATCTAATTTGGTGGGAAAAATTATGACCACAAATAATGCTACAGCCACACAGAGAAGAGAATGCATTCCTGGGAGAGGTGAGTCAGAATCAGCCCCGGGGGACTTCAAAGGGGACAGGATTAAGTTTACTACTAAAGGAGGAGCAAGAATTTTCCAGATCAGAAGAGGGGGAGACGTAGGGACAGCAGGAGTCTTTTGGACACAGTGAGAAGATATCACAGAGGGTGGAACACCATGGAGACTGGAGGCGCGAACAGCAAAGAGTGATGTCTAGGCATGGGGCAGCAAGAGACAAGAGCTCAGAGCAAAACAAAGTTACCCACCATGCACAGGACACTGGGCTGTTTTCTGCTGGAAACAGGAGGTCCCTTAACAGTCGAGAAATATCTATCAGCTCACAGAACTAACAGCGCTGCAGGCTGTGGGTGACACACACTACCCTATAGGCAGGTCCTAGCCACCCGTCTACTGTAGTGCATCCCTCCCAATGAATCTATAAATAGTGCCCCCAAGTTACTCTCGGTGCTCTTCCTACAGTAGCAACCTACTATTTAACTTGTAAGTAACCTGTCTATTCTGGCAATAGAAAGCCCCTCTGCCAAGGGGAAATAAGGAGAATAAAGAGATGCCACAGAAGGAACTAATAACCCAAATCAGCGATGGTGAACCTCTAAGACACCAGTGCCCACACTGCCACCAAAAGCCACTAACAAGTGCCAACACTACAAGTAAACCTGAATGCTGAGGTTTTAGTGTTGAAAAAAACTCATAGGATAACATTTTTTATCTTACAAGATAACAAATACATGTGCCATAGGTTCACCACCACTGACCCAAATGAATGTAAACACTACATGTTGTAAACATGAGGCAAGATTCATAATATTAACATGAAGGAAGGAAAATTCATAATATTAACATCGGGAAAGGGGTTTTAGACGAGGTGGGAAGGAGACAGGAGAGAAGTAGATCAACGAAAAAGAATCAAGCTAATGTTATGTGCCTGTGACTACTCCCCAAGATGATTATAAACTGAATGTACTGTGAACATGTACTACTTCTAATAATAATAAAAAGAAATTCCTCTCCTCTGAAAAATGTCCCCCTCTGCTCCATTCACATCATTTTCTCACAAGAAGTCCCTAACCCACTGTCTCTGGCCACCGCTGAGGGTGCGAGCTGGGAGTAGTGTTTGGCTGTAGGATAGAGAGCTACGCCAGTGTTTTGATGCTTGGTACTATAAAGTCTAAGTTGTCAGTAGCCAAGTTTCCCAACATAGAAGTTTTATAGCAAAGATTACAGCTGACAAGAGCCCCGATGCTAATGGGGAGCAGGTTCCAGGTAGCAGGTGCACAGCTTCATTGCTGCAGAAGAAATTCTCCCTTTGGCCTAAGCTATCAGCTGCAAAAGAACAATCCTAATATAGCACTTGCCTGCATTTATTTATTCATTGTTTTGCTTCTGCGTGTGGAGCCAGAGAGCAGACCCAAGTTCTCACATATGCTAGTTCTGCCCCTGAGCGACAGCCCTCAGCCTCTCTCAGCTGGTTACTACAGTATTGAGGGTTGAACCCAGGGCCTTCACACAGAGCTACATCCTGAGCCTATATATATATGTATATGTATGTATATGTATTGAGACACAGCCTCACTGTGAATCACCAAGTTGCTCAGACTGTCCTTGAACTAGTGATCCTCCTGCCTCAGCCTCTCAGAGAGCTGGGATTATAGATATATACCACTCTATCCAACTCTCTTCAGTTATTTTTTTAATGAAATGGGTTTTACTCCTTTTGGCTTTAGAACTGTCAGAATGTTTACTTAACAGGCCTGACACATTAGAAATGCTTCTCTTTGAGCATAAATGGAGTATTAATGTCAAAGGAAATGCCCTGCTTGAAAAATGTAAAATCAAACCCCATAAAGACATCTGTTTCAAACTCCTCACTAGGTAAGGCAAAGAGTTTCCAAAAAAGAGCTGGAAAAAACTTCTGAGATTTAAAACAAAACAAGACAACTTTCAACAAGTTTTTTTTTTTTTTCACTTATATATTTGAAATAGGGTCTCACCATTCAGCTCAGACTCCTAGTGATCCTCCTATTTTTCACCTTCCCAGCGCTGGGATTACAGGTGTGCACCACCACGCCTACACTTGGTCACTGGCTCAGCATGCCCGGGGGTGGGGCCAGCATGGCATGTGGTGCCAGGGATTGAACCCTGGTCCCAGCACTTGCCTAAGCAGGTGCTTAGTTCACTGAGCTATCTCACTGGCCCTAACTTTCAACAAGTTTTTAAGTGGCATTTTGGCTGAGAAACTCGATAGGCAATGTGAGAGTCGAGAAAGATAAGAAAAACAAAATGCACAGCAGACGTGAGTCACCTCCACAGTTGGTCTAATATTCATAAATCACTCAGTGCAAATTACCTGACAACCACTAGGAGAAGGAAACAAATGACAGCTGAGTGTTTCAGCTTTCTGAACTGCTTATCTCTGCTTTCTCAACTTGGCTCAATTGCTGGTTTCCATTTCCCACACCGCAGCACAGAAAGTACCTCTGGGCACAAAGCCAAGAAGATTCCAAAGCTCACATCTGCCTTCATCCTTTCAGGGATCAGATTTCTATGCTGTTTCTCGCCTAACATCTAAAACTTTCACCTCATGTGTCGTCCAGCTTTCTAGTTGCCTCTGGTAGGACAGCAAGTCTGAACCAGGATGCTCCATCAAGACCAAGTAATCGCACATTTCAACACTACTCCTGTGGCCATGCAGTGTGTTGCGGGAGCTGCTTACAGGCAAGGCAGCCAATGAAGACACCACTGCTGTAGCATGACTGGCAGGTGGTGGAGTCGGGCAGTAGCGTGGCAATGGACAGCTCTGCACAGGTCTCGAACCCAAGGACTTGATGAGCATGCACACGGCGGTGCCTTAACTAACACAGGGGACTTCAGGCTGAAAAGTCTCAGGTGGTCTGGGAGGATGGCTGGCCTCCCCCAGTCCTCTACCCCACCCCATCTGGTTGCCTCTCTACTTGTTCTTTGCCTATAAAAGTTTAACAAATTATTTGGCAGAAGCAGGCTCCCAGGCTGGTGGGCAAGCTAAAGGACTGGAAAGGAAGAGATGGTGTAGTCATCTTTTAACCTAGGCACATGGTACTTAATAGGCAGCCGGATTGACACAAGGAATGAGCACTTGAAGAACTTGCCTATGCCAAAAATGATAACAGGGCCATCTTGACTTGATGGCTAGAGACATGAATACGTGAAGCCAAAGACCTAAGTGGGGGGAAAGTGCGATAAAAGAAGACAACCCTTGGGAAGGACAACTGTACTCATGAGGAAAGCATTCGATTTCTTCCCACTTCTTCCACGGCTCTTAAACTTACACCTTATCCTCCAGGGTGATACACACTAAGGTACTCTGAGCTTCCCGCGCTCTGTCCCCTGGGAACAGCAGTCCTACCCTCCAGCTCTGGAAGGCCCACCAGGGCAGGGTGGTTCCCAGCTGTCCTGTTTGTAGTGGCTTTGAGGGACTGGTCCAAGAGGCTGCCCCAGCCCACATGCAGCCAGTCAGAATCGCCCTTGCGGGATTGGGACGCGAAGGTAAGAGGTTAGTCTTAGTAAGGACACCAGCGCACAACTGTACATAATCAGCTCAGGTAAGGGGGTGGGGGTTCCCACAAGGGCAGAGCGGTGGGGAAGGCAGATGCACAGAGGCAGATACTAAGAGAAAAGCAGAGAAGGAAAAGACAGAAAATAAAATCCTAACATCTTTCTAAGAAGTTCTTATTTTATTCTTCTCCTGGGTCCTTAAATTATGTCAGATATCCCAGTATCTCTCCAAGAGCACTTTCCATTTTGGCTTAAGCTAACTGAAGATGGCCTCTGTTACTTGAAAGACTAAAATGCTTGACTAAAATACTACAGCTTCAGTGGCCAGCACTTGCCTGATGACAGCGAGGTCCTGAGTTGGACTCCCGGTACCAGAACGTAATAAAATACTATGACTTTATCTGTGTTCTACTGTTTTCTGAAATTCAATCACTAACTACTGGCATTTCTTGGGTGCCATATTATGAATTAAGTTTCATAGTGAATTAAGTATAAAGTGACTGGTTAGTTTGGGAGTAAGATTTGCACTTTGAACCTCTATACATCTGGTAGTATTATGTTGACAACAATATAACGAGATCTGCATTAAGACCAGGAGCATGGTGCTTATTAAGGGAAAAGGGAAAGCCTGGGGAATCAGGAGTCCTTATACAAGGGTATCTCCCCACTTCAGTCCCCCTAAGCCAGGCCTTCCACTTGTCCTTTGCTACCTGCCTTGTTAGCATCTTCAGTTCAAGCCTACTGGGATGGAACCACAGTCTGATCTTTCTCACTTGGTTAGAGACCTGTGGCTTTCCTATAAACTCAGCCTGACCTCTGCTCTCATCAGCCCCTCTGAAACTAAGTTAGATCCTAAGTGCTAGCCAAGTAAAACAAACCTGAGAGATGCACAGGAAGGCAGAAGCCCTCAGCCTGTCCCACAGCATACTGCTCCATAGGTTTCTGCATCCCTCCTATATGGCTGTCCCAGGAAGCAGGTTGTCCAGCGTGGGTCTGGGCAGTGAGGTGATTCCTCACAATCCAAATGGTATGCAGGGGCTGGATCCCTACTTATCTGATACAGAAAGGGTTTCGTTTCTTAATACTGCTTGCTTAGTGCTTCTCTATCACACAGTACCTGTGACTGACAGGAGCTCTTCCTGTGCCATATCTTTGATCTACCAGAGCCCCTCAGCCCAGCCTCAAGTCTAGAAGTGGAAAGAGTGGTGGCATATATATAGTTAAAGCGTGGACTGCGGGAGCAGAGTGCCTGAGCTGGATTTTTGGCTACTCTGTCTTCTAGCTCTGCGGCTTTAGGCAGGTTCCTTTAATTGCCTGCTGCTCAGCTCTCCCACTGTAAAATACTGTTATAGTTGCTAAAAGTAACCAGCTCCTAAGGCTGTCACATAAAGAGCTTCTTAGAACTGTGACTGAGACACACTAAGTGCTTAGTAAAGCCCGTTAGGATTACCACCTGGGTCCTCTTCTCTCAACTTCCAATAATATAAATGAAATGGGTTGGATTTTCCATAAAACATTAAACCACACATCCTAATGATGATTATGTCAGACTACTCAGTAAATAGAAGTGTTCCTGTCACCTTGTCATTGTTGCTGTGTGTGGGTTCCGTTAAAGTTCAACAACAGAATAACAAAAGCTGTTCCAACAGTGTGTTAGTCTGTTTGTATTGCCATAACAGGCTTTCAGAAACTCAGTCATTTATAAAGAAAAGAAATTTATTCTCTCACAGTTCTGGAAGCCCAGAAGCCAGGATCAAGCCACTGACGCCTTGCTGAATCATGACATGGTGGAAGGCAGAAGGGCAAATGTTCAAGAAAGCAACCATCCCCCCTCTTTTTTTTTTTTTTTTTTTTTTTTTTTTTTTTTTTTTTTCATCCCCCCTCCTTTTTTTTTTTTTACTGCTGGGGATTGAACACAGGGCTAGGCTGGTGCTCTGCCACTAAGGGACACCTTAGTTCCCAAAAGCCCTTTTAAAAATGGTGTCACTCATTTAGAAGGGTGAAGCTCTCATGACCAAACACCTCCCATTAGGCCCCGCCTCCCAATACCATCAAAATGACAATCAAGTTTCCAGCATATAAATTCTGGGGATATATTCAAACCACAGCAAACAATAACATTCATGACTTAATTGACGATTTTCATTTATGATTTACTGTTTATGGGCCTGGTTCTAAGATGAGCATTTTACATGTATTAGTTAAATTAGTTCTAGCTAGCCTTTAAAGGAGGTACTTTTATATCCTATTAGCAGGCTTCTGTTGACATAGAACAAATTTAAAACATGCCACCTTATTCGAAACTAAATAGAATTTTTTTTCAATTTGGTAAAATAGTTCTTACCTGCTGCTGGGGTTCTCTCATTTGATATGTTAAATTTTTTTAAAGTTGCAAATAAAGCTTAAGAAACAAATGACAGCTGTTTGTCATGAAGTCTAATTTATGTGTGTGCTAAAGATTATGAGGGGCTTTAATGATTCCCCACAGGGCTGGGGAGATGGCTCAGTAGAAAAAGCGCTTCCCTCGCAAGCACAAGGGTCTGAGTTCAATCCCCGGTTCAATTAAAAAAAAGATTTCCCACATGGTTATATATCCAGTCTCCTAATTCAAGCTTTCAAAGCAATTTGATTTCATTTGGAGTTTTGGCAGGGTGGTGGTTAATATAGGGTCTTGTTATGTAGTCCAGGCTGGCCTTGAACTCTTGGCAATCCTGTGGCCTCAGCCTCCCAAGTGCTAGGATTACAGGTTTGCACCACCACACTGGGCCATCAATTCAATCTTGAAAAGAATATCATATCTTTTCAAGACTATAAAAGAACTCAAGAAACTTACAAACTTTTATATTTTTTCTCTATAACGTTTTAACACTTATCTACATGTTATATTGTATACAATTTTGCCAAGAACAACACTGGCATTGATTTCATATAAAAACGCCGTTTCCCTTGTATAATTACCTATTAAGAAGGTCCTCCACTTCTTGAACTTCTGATATGGGCTCTTCATTACCAGGAAGGATACGAGTTTGAAATTTTCTATCTTGGAAATCATACAGCATCACAATAATAAGACTGCTCAAGTGATCTGGCTACCAAAGGGAAATGCACATAAAGCATGTAAACAATACCTAGCAGTAGTATTTTATATTCCATTAGTTTGCATACCCAGCAGGAATATGATAAGTTTTACATAGACTGGTTAATTTGAACATAGGAAAGCTCTTCAAAATATAGGGAGAATCCAATAAAATAATAATAATAAGCCTTTCAAAACAGAAAACTTTTGACACGGTCATGAAGATGAAAAGGTAAAGGTTGGTATGAGAAGCATTACAAGTCGGAAACAGTCTGTATTTAAGCAAACTAGTTACTATTGACATCTGAAAGTTGCTTAATTCTTTTTTAAAAAAATAATCATGAGTGGCCAGGCAGATGGCTCAGTGGAATAAGCACTTCCCTGGCAAGCACAAGGGCCTGAGTTCAATCCCTGGTTCCACAAAAAAAAAAAAAAAAAAAAAATCATGAGACAAGCTAATTCTAAAAGCTGTTTACTTACTATTGTGGTGCTTGGGAATACATAGCTGTCTATTAATATGGTTTCCAAAATATCTTGATCTGCAAAACAAGAGAGATGCCTGTGACTAAAACATACCAAAGCTGAAAATCAAAACTTGGGAACCCTGGCACACTTTAAATAATGTCATTAAGGCTGGGCATGGTGGCACATGCCTGTAATCCCAGCACTTGGGAGGCCAAGGAAGGACTGCTGTGAGTTGAATTTCAGCTTGGGCTACAAAGTGAGTTCAAGGTCAGGCTGAACTACATAGTGAGACTTGTCTCAAAACACACACACACACACACACACACACACACACGCATGCACGCAGTCATTAAATATTTTCATATCTAAAACACCTCAATTCTTGATCTTGATACAGACAAATTAAAATTACATGATGAAACATTTATAATCTTTATGAATCCTGGGCCACGTGGTTTCACATAAAATCCTAGTCCAAGACTATGAACAACCAAATGAAGGAATTCTGATGTTTAACTTTTTGGCCTTTCAGAAACTTTAAAGAGAACCCAATTAACAATGTAACTTTCTTCTCTTATCCACTTTGACTATTGCTGGATTGGATTGCTTGTTTTATGTTTCTGAGAGACTTGGGTCTGTGATTTTTTTTTTCCTTGTAGCATCCTTGTCGATGTTGGTAGCAGAGCTGGGCTGGCCTCACAGAGTGAGCGGCAGTGTTCCCTTTCCCTCGGGCCTCTCCAACTGTGTGTGTTAGAATGGCAGTATTTGTACCTTAACTATTTGGTGGAACTCATTAGTGAAGACACTGAGATGACCTTTAGTCTAAGATTCAAATGACAAGGGGCTGCCACGTAAAGATCTGAGTGGGAGCCACAGTCCAGGCAGGAAGAATAAATCTCTAATCACAAGGACTCAGTGGAAACCAGTGGACATATGTGGGAACCTCCAGGGTCTCCAGGGCTCTCTTCTGACAAGTTCTCAACTAGATGTACATCCCAGAGCAGATGTTTTAATCAGTTAAATAGCAAGCAAGCAAGCCCTATCTTACATTCATTCAAAGTTTACAGAAACCCTATTATATGGAATGTACACACCGAACTTTAATCTTTATTTGGGAGATGGGAAACCCAGAAAGAAGATTAATTTGGGAACACACACTCCAATGTACAAGAATCATCGCCCATGTGTATACAAGGCGATAGTCCCATTTCATTTGTCATGGAATGACCTCTAGAGTTTCACACCCTTCGTGCTTGCAAACCAATTCTGATCAGCTTCCTTATTCCCCAGCGCAAGTCACAGAAGAGGCAGCCACAGAAGCACTGCAGCCCCCATGGAGCTATGCGCACTGGAGCGCTGGACGTCCACAGATCAGCAGAGGCAGAACGGAGGACGAAGAAGCAAAACGTGACTCTTGCCAACACATTTGTTTTCTAGGGCTCTTGTCAAAACAAGTGTCGTTGATACTGCAAAGAATGCATTATCTTTGTATATCTGCAACTTCTTCTTTTTTTTTTTTTTTTTTTTTTTTTTTTCTCCAGATACAAACTAGAATCATACTCATTCTTTTAAAGCTGTTTTTGGTATAACCCGGAATTGAACTCAGGCCCTTGCACTAGCCAGGGAAGCACTTATTCCACTGAGCCATCTCCCTGGCCCCTTATATCTGCAATTTCTATAACATTCTCACATAACAATAGTTAAGCAATATGTTAATGATAACTACAAATGGCACATTTTATGTTGTACTTATTGTTCTAAAGGCTGTTTATAGATTTATTTATCCCAGTAACAGCCCTATGAGATGGGTCCTATCCCTGATCCAGTTCTGTAGGAAATGAGGCACAGAACAGTTAAATAACGTGTTCACAGTCACACAGTAGGTGGCAGATCAGGGACTCAGACCCAGACGTGGCATCCAACTGGATTCTCTTCCCAAAATTATTCCATTTTTTCTTATGTTTGCCTTCTTTAAAATTCTTGTTAAATTGATTGGTACAATTTAGATATACTTATTAATCACATTCATCATAAGTAATTTGCTCCTACACAGGATATATCCTGATTTATTTTCCCTCCAATCTCCTCCCCTCCTGTCAAACCCTCTTCGCCTCCTTATTTACAAAGTTTTGTTTCCATTTTATCCTTCCTTATTGCCTCCCCCAAAGTTCCCCTTTCTTTGGAACAATCCAAAAGAAATCCAAGTAGTCAAGTGAGGCACACTGCTACTGCCTGATTTAGATTATCAGGACTCAAGGGTTGCAAACCTTGCCTCTCCTAGAATTCAGCCCAAATTCCAGCTATCCCCCTCCCTCCACTAACTATAGCTACAGGGAATTCAACCTCCACTTCTGCAGACTCTCTTCCTATCCTCTGCTTGCTACTCCCTACAAAAGCAAAACTGGGCTAATTCCATCAGTGAAACCAGGCATTTGTCCCGCTCCCTTTCTCCCGGCCTGCTTGTCTGCAGGAAACATACACACTCTCCAGGGGAGGAGAGGTCTCGGAGACCCAGTCTCACTTTGGGTTAGGTGGGAACCTCACCTTGGGGCAGGAGTAAAGGATTTGTAAATCTACTTGACTAGGGATCTAGACTCATGACACCCAATTTTTCTCAATTGGTTCTAAACTCAGATGTGAAGAAGGAATGTTATTAGCTGGACCCCTGACATTCACAGCTCATCTGGTCATCCTTCCCGTTTTAGAAAGAAGATGAAGATGTTTCTTCTCTTCACTCTCCCCTAGGTGCTCCCTTTCCATTTTTATTATGTTTTCAGAGTTTTTTTCATACAAGAGACTTCTAGAACTTCATGAATTCCAAGGCCTAACTATAATTATAAACATAGAATCCAAGATGTTCAGTGGGAGGATGTGGAGGGAAACTTGGAAAAAGTACTTAATTCTTCTTGGAAAAATTAGTAAGACTAGGCACTAACACTTTTCAAATATATACAGAATGAGAGAATAGGTGCCAAGGGTGGAGGCACATACCTGGGATCCCAGCACTCAGGAGGCTGAGGCAAGAGGACCACTGTGAGTTTGAGGCCAGCCTGAAGTACATGGAGTGAGCCTGTCTCCAAAAAAGCAAGTGAATAAGAAGGATATAATGGGGAAAAGAAGTTGCCATCAATCATTGTGCAGTGAAAATGAAAGTATATAGGATTATTTAAAAAAAAACCAACTAGAATGGTGGATGGAAGCTGTTACGCTCTCCTTTCAGCCAGGTGATACTTTCTCTCCTTCAGCCTCACTGCTGGCTGCTTTAGGAATGCCATTTAATATCCTCTGGAGCTTCTCCCAATACTTCTCATCTGCAAATGAGAACATTCCACCTCAGAGGACTGACATTCAAATGGAATAAAGTACTCCATGGATTATAAAGAGCTGTGAAGGAGGAATGTTATTAGCTGGACCCCTGACATTCACAGTTCATCTGGTCATCCTTCCCGTTTTACAAGTGTAAGGGACTACTACTGTCACTCAAGTGAATTGTTTTAACCTCCGAGGTTAAACAGGTAGCACCTGACACACAACAAGTTATAGATCAGGGCCATTTCCCAAATGAATCATCATACGGTCAATAATTAACTGGGGAGCTGGGGTGGCCAAGCTGCAGATGCTAAGGAAAGGCGAGGCCCTTGACCACCTCCTAGGAGGTAACCCAAGCCTTTGAAATGCCTGCTTTGATGTCTTTTTTTTTTTTTAACAAGCTTTATTTTCTATTGAAACAGGGTCTGCTTATGTAGTCCAGGCTGGCCTTGAACTCACTATGTAGCCCCAAACTCCTGGTGATCTTTTTTTCTTGTGGGGGAGGGGAACCGGGGACTGAACTCAGGCCCTTGCACTTGCCAGGCAAGCACTTATTCTACTGAGCTATCTCCCTGGCCCCCATTTCAGGAATTATTGAATCTGGGAGTGATCTTGAGATCAGCTGAAAATTACTAATTCCCTAAAGCTAGAACCAAATAACCAGTAAATGTCAAGCATTTACTAGGTTTCTTTACCGAAAGGTTAAACGGTTCCAAAATGATCAGATTAAGGACATCTGGGACTGAAAGTCTGCCAGACTAGGGAAGCTGGATAAAGAATGAAGCCAAGAAAGACCAGCAACTTTGGGGGCATCTTTCTTTGTTTTACTTGGTCAATCATTTCTCAAGAAATTATTTTTGCCAGTTTTAAAAAAATATTTAGCATTCCTTAAAAGATACAGAGATTCTTTGAAAAATAAACCAGCTGGTAGTGCTCTACTATTGTGACAAAAGTCAAACTTAATAGTTTGACTTAGCAATTAATAGTTTGACTTAACACTTCATTAGTAATCTTGTTTAGCAGAAAACTGATGTAGGGACTGTTTGATGAGGGCAGACCAATGGCAATCTTCATTTCAAAAGACATTCCATTGAGCCTTTTAAACCTTTAAAAGGTTAATCTGAATATATAAACCCTGCTTGAAAGAGCTTATGCACAAAGGATATCAATAAAGAAACAAACCTGAAAAATATAAAACAAAATCAAAGGGGCACTTGCTTTGTGTATAGTTAAGAAATTTTGTTATTTTTTCCCTCTCCTTTCTCTTAAAAAAAAAGATGATAGTGTGCTCTTCCTCTTCACAAACTAACAAACAAAAGACTATTACCCAAACACTGCTAATCCGTACCATCATTTTCATCACTCTATAAGGCCTTAGGGAATAAATGTGGAATTTTCTTTCCTAAACATGATTCCCGACCCTAAAATGTACAATCCAAAGGTGAACTTACAAAACCTCACAAGTGAAAACATTGCTAGAACACTGATAAAAAGTGAAATGCAAAAAAGTTTCCAAAGTTTTAAAAGTAAAAGATCAGGCTCTTAATTATGTTGGAAAATTGACTACCCTGGGAGTGTGATTATTCTTACACCAGGACAGATGGAGCCGAAGGCCAGGCAAGTGTTAAGTATGTGCTCCAACACAGTGCGATGCCAGCAGCCCCCACAGCCCTCATTTTATTATTTAATATTCAGAAGTTACTGAAGCGCTAACTTAAAGCAAGACAGCGTTATATAAGAATATGTAAGACAAGTAAACAGCCAA